CTTCCTCCTCCTTTTCTGTGAGCTGTTGGCCGTTGGCTCCTCACTCCTCCCCCCTCCCTCCCTTCTGATCCTCGTCATCTGCATTCCTCTCTCCTCCTTCCTCCGTCCTCGTCTGATGTGAATGCAGTTGGAGGTGGCGTCCAAGGTAGTGAAGGCGGAGATCATCGAGTACCAGCAGGGCAAGGGGCGAGAAGCTGCGGTGGAGGGCGAGGAGAGGGAAGTGAAGAAGAACAAGAAGTGCTCTGTACAGTGAAGGCCAAAGATAACAGACAGGCTGACATTGTGAGGGGATAGGGAAGGGATAGCAAGGAGATGGGAAGGGAGGGGAAGGAGATGGGAAGGGAGGGGATGGGAGGGGAGAGGAGGTGAAGGGATCTTCGCTCATCCTTGCTTTGTGCCCTCCTGGTGCATTTCGCACAAGCCTCGCACTGCTGGCTGCAGATGGCATGTGAGGACGCGGGGCGAAAGAGCATCGTTGAAGTACGTCTCCTGCCTGGAGCGAGGAAGGAAGGGACGCAGGAGAGGAGGAGGAGAAAGAGGAGGAGGAGCATGCATGTGTCACAGTTCACCTGGAGAGGAGGAAGAGGTGCCTCTATCCTGGGCTTCAGCGCGTCCATCAGAGCCACTCCTCGCTTCTCGCCGAGCTCCTGCTGACCATCAAGAGGGGCAGAGAGGAAGCAGCAGCAGCAAGGGAGGACGAGGGATGGCAGAGAGGAAGCAGCAGCAGCAAGGGAGGACGAGGGATGGCAGAGAGGAAGCAGCAGCAGCAAGGGAGGACGAGGGATGGCAGAGAGGAAGCAGCAGCAGCAAGGGAGGACGAGGGATGGCAGAGAGGAAGCAGCAGCAGCAAGGGAGGACGAGGGATGGTAGTCTCACTCGAAACAGTTGATCAATGTCCTCCTCAAGCTCCTCCTCTCTCGCATCCTCCCGTGCCTCCTCCTCCTCCTCTCCTCGACCAGGATCGTGGAGAGGTGGAAGCTTGTTCTGGCTGCGGTGGAAGCGAGCAGCGTCGAGGCAGGAGACGTACTTCTTGTCTGACCTCCTCTCTCCTCGCAATGCTGGAGCAGCCGTCAAGATTGAGGAGGGGAGCCACGAGAGCAGTGAAGGAGGAGACAGAGGACAAGGAAGGGCAAGGGGGGAGAGAATGTGAGAGGCAAAGGAGGAGGACGAAGCGCAAGGGGGATCAAGAGACGCGGAGGAGGAGGTTGGACGGGGTGGGGTGGGTGGGCAGAGGGAGGGGTTGTCACCCATCTCTGCCGTTTCTCTTGCTAGCGAGCAGCTCACGGGCATCCCATGGCCGCTGAAGCCTCCGCAAACCCAGACCCTGATACCAGCTTCACCTTCCTCCTCCTCCTCCTCCTCCTCCTTCTCTTCCTCTTCCTCTTCCTCCTCGTCCTCCTTTCCCTCCCCCATCCCGCTCTGTCCCCCATCTCCCCCCTCTCGTCCTCTTCCTCGTCCTCTTCCACTTCCTACCCTCCCCGCTCACCTCTTCCTTCCTGGCACAGCTCCAACGACAGGGCGCAAGTCCGGGGTTTCAGCTATCAAACCTATGGAGGGAGTGAATGCCAAGGGAGGGGAAGGGAAGGGAAGGGAAGGGAAGGGAGGGAGGAGGGAGGGAGGGGGAGGGGGAGGGGGAGGGAGGAGGGAGGAGGAGGGAGGGAGGG